GGCCATTTCTGAAATAAAACAACTATGAAATTAAAGTACTAGGATCCAGAGGTCTGTCCTCCAATCATTCAGTTCCAATTATTGACTATGGAAAGGTTACATGGGCAAGCTACTTATGCCCTATTTTGCCTTTTTCTCATTTCATCCATCCGCTAATTTAACATATTTCACCCAGAAGACACTCTCATTATGATTCCAGGATACACCTGAGTTGGATATATGTTCAGGTGGATCTATTTACAGAAGATCACAAAAGAACACATAAGTGCTCAAAGAGTTATATGCACATTCTTTGCACACATCCCTCTTATTCTCACTGTGTAGACAGAGTGACAAAAATAAAGTAAAAGTACAGGGACTAAGATCCAGGCAAAAAGAAAGTAAACTGTAACAACAAAGGGACTACTTAATATTTGGGCTAGCTCTGGGAAATCCTGCATTATTACTGTAAAATAAAGACATCTAGCATCAAATAGTAATGGATGGAGCCTGACTATACAAAACCAAAAAACAACAGCACACCAATGAACTCAAACTACCTGTGAAGAATTGGGGGCAGCTCTGTACTGTTTTCAAAGTCATCTTCTAACTGATAGAGTAAGAGCCATTTCATTATCAATTCCTTTAAAGAAAAACTTCTGTTTACTTCGCATATATTCTGCTCCATTCCCATTTTTACTGTTTCTGGAACTACACAGGTGGTCAGTGCCAAAGTCAAACAGGATATCACAGGACTATAACAAAACAAAGAATGATTAGTGTTATAAGTAACCTCTTTAAGAATGTAGTACTACTAAAACAATAAGATTTATGAATATTGAGCAAACAAGTGGTAAATTGTCAAATTACCCATAAAAAATTTAAAACATTTAATTCTTTAAAACATTGTAGTAATCTCTCCACATTTAAAACTAAATTTACATTTATTTATTAAGACTTCCTGAACAAACATTAAAAGCATCTGAAATAGAATTTAACAATCTTTAACTGAAATTCCAAATTCCAAAAATCAGGGGGTAGATGAATATACAACACAGTCCAAAAAATGTACACACACTTTGAATAATTATTAATTCCAATGGGTTAAATCTGAAAAGAAAGAAACCCTAACTGGGCTATCAGCTGTTAAAGTGTGGATACATTTTTTTGGGACACCTTGTATACAGAGGTTGTCAAAAGTAGGTTTACAGTTGTCCGTATGGAAATAATACAAATAAATAATACAATTAATCTATATATATAAAAGCTTAAGCAACCGACCAACCAGCCAACCGCTAGCTATGAGGTGCACTGGCACCAGGGGGCAGACGCTCAACACAGGAGCTGTCGAGCTACCGTGACTTGGCAGCTGCAGTTCTTGGGTGATGAGCCTGATTCCAGGGTGTGTCACCCAAGAACCGCCCTCTCGCAATCCGGGACCCCTCGGGGGATGTCAGAGAGCTGGTTTCGGCCTGATCCCCACCAGCCAGGCCGAGGGACCCCACCGGTGCATGAATCCGTGCACTGGGCCTCTACAAAAATAAACTCTGTGTTTGCGTACTCACAAAGACAAATCTACTGCTATTTTTGCCCACCCCTATGTGTGTGTGTGTATATAAATAAAATATGTAAATATGAAAATTGCAAAATCTAATACAATGCATAGTCAACTTACCATGAAGGTCTGCAGGCTGACCCAGTAAATAACTTCCAGAATTCTCTGTCAATCTCAACTAAGCTCCCTTGAATTATGGCTCCAAGTAAGCCAAAATTTTCAGCTTGTATTTGTTCAAAACTTATATTGCGAAAGGTAATAGACCAAATTTTAATCCAGAGTTTCAATAACTCTGACTTTTGTGAGCTTTCTAGGTTTGATTTCTTGCCTTGACACAATGCAATTTCCATAAGGCATCGTAACACATATGGTGTACGTTCCCCACGTCGCTGTTGAGGTAGAAGCTGACATAGTATCATCAATAATGGTGATAGCTCACAGTTAGGTAAACATGCAGGATATTTTGATATTAATTGAATTACAATCTGTAACCTGAAAAAAATTATAATTAATTTGAAAATTACTCAATTCTACTAACAAGCTAAAAAATCAATGTATAGCTATAATACCATTTATAATACCCTAATTAGAATATCACCATCATTATTTTCCGTACTGCTCTCATAATACACTGGCTCTTAATTTTTATTAGGCCCTACTTCCTAAAGTGTCAAGAAGTTACAGCTTTTTGTCTAGCTGGGTAAGCTATATTTCCCTTACACAAAAACTAACGAAAAACTATATTAGCAGTATTATATTCCTGCGTTATTGCACCCATCCCTGTTCTTTAGCCACCGATAATATTCCTTCAAACCAGAAAAACAAACAAAACCTCAAAAAACGGTTTTTCCTTGACATTAATTCAGTTAATTCAATAAATATTTGCTGTGAGTTCTCCAAAATGGGTGCTACTCAGGAATAGAAACTTTATCTTATTCACTTCTGCATCGCTAATGTTTGGCACATAGCAGCTGTTCAATAAATAACTCTTTACTGAATGGACAAATTAACTAATTGAACTAGGTACCCTCAACTATATAAAAAAACATGAGCTCAAACAAGAGGTATCTAAATAAATACGCTTTCCCCTGCATAACTCAATTATATTTAAACATTACATCAACATAGTTAACATCAAAAGAACACTAATCATAGTTTGACTATAATCTTCAAATTTCCAACAGTCCTTAGGCAGGCTGCTTAACCTTTCTCAGTTTCACTTATTTCTTCAGTACAGCAAACAGGCTGAACTGGACGAGTTCTGAAGATTTCAACCAGACCAACTTTTTTTTTTTTCCACAGAATTCCACTGATTATTTAATTATTTAAATAATTGTGAGTACTATATGAGACAAGAAAAAAAACAGCCTTTTGTCATGGCATAAGGTCCAAATATATGTGATTTCTGGATGTTATCCTTAATTTCTTTTTTTGTTTTGTTTTGTTAATCCTCACCTGAGGATATTTTTCCATTGATTTTTAGGGAGAGTGGAAGAGAGAGGGAAAGACAGAGAGAGAAACACATCACATCGGCTGTATAGGGCCCAGGCCGGGGAGGAGCCTGCAACCAACATGCGTGTCTTTGACTGGAATCGAACCTGGGACCCTTCAGTATGCACACCGACACTCCATCCACTAAGCCCAACCAGCTAAGGCATCCTGAATTTCTTCCTAATATAAGTCTACAAAAAGGTGCTATGCATGTTAACTCTCTTTATACTGAGGTGTACAACTGAATAAATTCCATGAGTCACACTAGTGATTGCCTAGTAGGCATCCATTCTCGCTTATTCCTTGCTATGGCAATATGCTTAAGAAAAGTGGCCTGTCCCTGCAACAGCAGATGAGCCATGGTGGTCGGTCTCAACAAGTCCTGGCAAGCATTTTCCCTTTGTCAGTGAATGGTTTGGGAGCAAATGACCTCATTCTGGCCAAGGAAATTATCCTACTGGCTAATGAGATAAAGGAGGTCTTTGTGAGAAAAACAAAATAAGACTAAAAGGACACTCTGAAAGAGGGGGAAAAAGTTATGTTTTACCAAGGCACAAGTTCAAAATCACTCTGTGACTTCTGGAGATGATCTTTTATTACATCCCAGCCTAATTCTATTTTCCTCTTTTTGCAAGGTACACCATATTCTCTTTGTGTGGTAGTATAAGACTGGGAAATCTCCAAAGATCTGGTATCTTCATTAAAAACCTGTAAAATAAAAAAATAAAGATTTATTTTTTATGAACTATTAGAAAACAACATCACTCCTCAAATGAAGATACAAGAAGTCATAAAGTAAACAATTTTGTATGACTGCAATGGCTCTCTAGAGAACAAATATTACCAAAAGGAGTATTAGCTTTATTTCTGGTAATATTTACTAAAAAACACACCAAGATATCTAAAAGCAAAGCAAAAACCTCTTTTTTTCAAAGGAATTAAATCATAAATTTAGCATTAAGAAAATATTGACAAGTAAAATGTTAACCAAACATTGAGGGAAAACATTGAGGATGTTAACCAAATCTTGAAGGAAAAAGTTTTACTTCAGAAACATTAAGCTATCAAATGATGAATGAGTAACAAAATGTAAAACAGCCACACAATTGAATATTACTCAGCAATTTTAAAAAATGAAATACTGATTCAAGGCAAAATATGAATAAAACTTGAAAACATTATCCTAAGTGAAAGAAGCCAGTCACAAAAGACCACTTATGTATGATAGTACTTACATGAAATGTTCAAATTAGGAAAAATAGACAAAGTACGTTAGTGGTGGGTTGCTAGGGACTGGAAGAAGTGGGGAATTAGGACTGACACTAATAGGTGAAAAGTTTGGGGAAATGTTCTGTAATTAAATAGAGGTGATGGGTATAAAGCACAGTGAATATACTTAAAAATACTAAGTTGTACACTTTAAAATAACACATTTTGTGCTGTGATTTCTAACTCAGTAGAACAAAAAAAAACAGAACAACAACAACAAAGAAACATTAGGGTTAGGGTAATCTTATTTCCTATAGATAATATATTAAGAATGAAAAAGTTCATCATCACTTTTCACTAAATTTATAATATACAGAACAGTTACCTTTTAAGTCAGAAGGCAATTCTAAATATTTATGGTGCTTTGAAAAGAGTAGTTACATGTACAAAGCAATATTACAGGCTTTTTATCAGAACACAGATTTTAAAAGCCCAGTAAAAAAAATTAACAAGGAATGTTAAAATGTGACAAGATCTACTGTACCTGGTGACAAACATCTGCCATCAAGTCAATCAAGTTTTCTTTGACAGCAATGTTACGAGATCCTGAGGAGTATTTCCCTCTGCTCCCTATGTGACTTATCTCATTAACTAGCAGATCATATAAGTTGTATAAGATACTTTTCCATTTTCTTGATTCATAGGCACCTGTAATTCAAAAAATTATATATATATATATATATATTCCATTTGTACCACCAATTCCCACAAAATTATTCATCTGTTAAGGTGAAAACATAAGAAGACATATGGTCCAACCTTCTATTCATAATGCCTCCTCTGACAATATCTTTGACAAGATCTACTTCATATCAGTGTCCATTTCACAGTTAATTGTATTTGTTATAAAATTCTTCCATATTTTGATCTAAACTTTCTCTAATCAACTCAATCAAAATCTCAATCAAGCTTTCTCTAATTTCTTCTCTCCCCTGAAGCAAATACAGTGGATGTTTCCCTCTTTTGTATGAGGCCCAAGTTATCTGTATGTCTAAGAAAGAAACATCTTACCAGTTCCTTCAACTAGTGAACAAATAATATGTTATCCACTTCTCCTTAT